AATTAAATACCAATGCCTTGTAGACTGAGTAACTAACTTAAAGATAACAATATGCAATGTATTAACCATTGTGACCCTCCTATCATGTTCTGAAATCTTGTTTTTTGAGTTTTTTCTCTTTAAAAATAAAAAAAGTTCACTGATTTTTCTATTAGTTCAAATCTTCTCTTGAATCCCTTACAGTATTTTTAGCAGTACAATTTAAATTTGGCTTTTCTTTGTACTTTTTATCTCTTTGTTGATATTCTCTGTTTAATATAATGTTGTCATGGTGCCTTCTTTTACTTTAATAATGATTTTCTTTTTTAAAAAAAAAAGTACATTTACATGGTTAATTTGAAGTCTGTGCCTATTAATTCCCACATTGCTTTTACAGGCAGTTTTTTAAACTAGTATTTAAGTCATACTTTCCTATTTGACTATGTCATTTTTGAAACTGGACATTTTAGGTAATATATTGTAGCAATTCTGGTTACCCCCTTTCCTCTGCTCTTTATTACTCTTTGCTTATTTTCTTCTTTAGTGACAGGCTAAATTATTGAAAATTGTTACTCAACCTCCAACCCTGCTGTGCATTGTGAAGCCTTCAGTGTTGCTCTTTAGGGGCACACACTTATACATGCCCAGTCTCCCAGGCATGACAATGATTTTCTGTATGTTCTCTTTAATTGTCTCTTTCCTTGACCACACCCTGTCTTTTTTTTTTTTTCAGAACCGGGGATCCGGGGATTGAACTCAGGCCCTTGTGCTTGCCAGGCAAGCGCTTATTCTACTGAGCTATCTCCCCAGCCCCTACACCCTGTCTTTAAGCGCCACTTGTAGATACCTGATTATTTTGTTTTTAATGATGTTCTGGTACATAAATCATCATACAAACTGACCCAAATTAAGACTCTTTTGAAGGATTCTGTTTCCCAAGATCAACGTTTGATATTTTTCTGGGGCTGGGTTGTATAGCTAAGTGGTAGAGCACTTGTCTAGTATGTACAAGGCACTTTATTATAGCTTACCACTGAGAGGGATAGAAAATTTCTTTTGGCCCCATAAGGTTATTCTGTACTCTGCTTTTCCCTTGTTTTTTTTCTAGCATGTTAGCCAACAGAGACTTGAACTGCCATACTCTGTTACAAGTGAAGTCAGTTCCATTGTAGGGAAAATTGGAGCCCTATATTCTATGACCTATCTCTTTCCTTAAGAAAATTCTCTAGGTTCAATCCCCAGCATGCCATGCTGGCCCTGCCCCCAGGGTGCACTGAGACGGCGACTGAGCCTGGCATGGTGGTGCACACCTGTAATCCCGAGAGCTTGGGAAGATGAGAAAAGGAGGATCACTACAAGTCTGATCTGTGTAATGAGACCCTGTAGGCCTTGTACTAAACACATAAATAGAAAAGAAAATTCTCTGAACTATAGCTTTGATACATGATATCAGAACTGTGTTGTTTCTTTCTTAGGGCTAGGGAGATGGCTCAGCAACATAAGCGCCTGTTTGGCAAGCGCAAGGTCCCAAGTTCGATCCCTGGTACTGCCAAAAAAAGAGTACGTAGAAAAGAAGGGCTGGCCAAATAGCTCAGTGGATTAAAGCACCTGCTTAGGCAGATGCAGGGTCAGAGGTTCAATCCCCAGCCTGCTGTGCCAGCTCTGCCCCTGGGGTGTGCTGAGACTGTGATTGAGACTGGGCGTGGTGGTGCGCATCAGTAATCCCAGCTCTCGGAAGGCTGAACACAGGCAGATCACTGAGTCGAATCTCCGTAGTGAGACCCTGTAGACCCTTACTAAAATGCAAAAAAAGAGAGTATGTTGTTTCTTTCTTGAGTGGGAGCCTCAGATCTTGTAGGCCTACTTCTTCTGGTGTAAAACTCCCACTCCACAAGCTGAAGCTAGGACAGGCATGGTCTTCGTATTATTGGTGATAGTATACCCAAGGCATAGCCTCCGTTTCATAATGGGATCTGGGTAGAATAAGGAAGTCCCTGCCTCATAGCCACACTCACCTAGAACTTATCCTTAGCAGTAGGTACCTGAGAACACAATGAAAAATGCTAATACCCTGCTCTTCCCAGAAAGAAATGCTTACAACTGAGAGCTGGAGAGAGGGTGAGATGAGCCCCATGTTTTTGGCTGCATTGATCTGTATGAATTGTATACTGGGAGAGATGAAGGAAATGGATCTAGGTCCAAATTCCACAGATTCTTACTTACTGGGTTTCACTAGATTTTCTTGAATAAAGCTTTGTTTGCTTTGTGACCTTAAGGCCATTTTTAGAGACTTTAAATGGTTGGTTATTGTTACTTTAATTGGAATAACTTTCACCAGTTTCACTGGAATGTGGGTCTGCAGAGCTCCTCACATAGTCACATCAGAAGAACTCTATAAGCCTTTTAACATACAGTCTTGTTGTTCTTGCTCATAATTGTTCACAGTGGCCATACACTTGGATTTCTACTTTCTCAATATATTGTGAATGGTTTTAAGTAGTAGCCCTGACCTTTATTCCTTGTAGAACCAAGATAGCCCCAATAGTATTTTGTATGTTGTGGCTTACAAAGGCATGTCAGTCACTGACTGTGTCACTGTCTTCAGTAGTTTGTATTTTCAGCAGTTTATTTGTGTTGGAGTGCTGTGTCTTTTTTTCTTATTCTCTAGTGTTGATGTGTTCCTAGAAGAATGATGCTTCTTTTTTAATCTACCATTAGCCATAGTAAACAAAAAAAGCATACTTGAGCTAATAGAAATTTTAGTCCAAAACATTCATTCTTCACAACATAGGAGCTTTCTATAACATTCCTTGCAGTATATAATTAGTTATAACTCTAGATTATACTACTTATTTGGCAGATAAGGACAGAGAGAGAAAGGATGGAGAGAGGCAAGCAGAAAAGGAGTGCGGTCATGCTTTTAAAGATAGGAAGTATCTTATTCTTTCTTTAGACAGTCTTGTTCATGTCCTTTCAGCCTTGGCTCTACCTTCACAGCTACTTTTTTTTTCTTATTGTTCCCTTATTAGGAGCTATGGATAGAAATGACCCCTAGCTGCCCCACCACCTTTATTTTGGTGTACAGTGGACACATCTGAGGCTCTGGTCAGCATTATACCACTCATTCTCTGTAGCTTGGGCTTTCTCCTGATGCTAATATGTAACTTTACCCAGTCTTTCCCACACTGTGTATCAGAAGATGTGGTTGTAGTATTCTTTTCTCATTACTCTAGATCAGTGGTGATGAACCTATAGCATGTGTATGGCAGCAGGCTGTTTGTTACCATTGAAAGCTCTAAAAGAGTCACCATCAACTGCTCTGGATCATTTGAGAATATTCTTGACAGAAATCATTTACTTTGTGTAATTTCCCTGCTGCTACTTTTGGTATCTAAACGACATGTTGACTGCCCTCTGGGATGAGTGTGTTTTATCTGTTTCATTCAGTGGTGTTCTCTTCCCCAGGATGCTCCAGGATGAAACGCCTTAGGCCTCTCAGCAGCACTGACAGTTCAGATGAGTGTGAGTAGAACCAGCTGGCAGCTGGTACCTTTTGTACCTGTGTCCCTTTGAGTATTTCTTCTTTCACTTGATGATAAGCTATTTCCTGCTTCTTTCAGTGGTTAAAAACTGTTTCTCAGAAAGAAAGCTCAGGATCTATTTTTCTTAATTAAATGTTATTATAGATAAATAGGTAGAAATAATTGGTTTTGTGTGTTATTTTTCACTTTTATTTACCTAAAAAACAGAAGTGAAATCTAGTAATACTTTAACAGAAATTCTCTAGAAAAAGATAAGAATGTTAGAACATAAATTATAGAGCCTGATTCTAGTTGTAGCTAAGATACTAAATGTTTGACTGTGGGTCCATCATCATTTGGAAAAGTCCTTAATAGCTTCTGGGGAAGTACTAAAAAATACATGGATTGCTTTGCCACACATTTTTATTTTTTCCAGTTGTTCTGCAGATACTTGTCCTCCAGTTGGAACATAAATTGTGTTATTCCAAATATCATGAGGTGTGATTACCCCAAATCAAATCTTTCCAGCCTTTGCATTGTTGAAGCTTTACACTCTAAGAACTCATCTGTAAATGTTAAATTCCATTGTGAGGCTCTTTTGCATGCAGTTTAACTATTTTCTTCAATAGTATGAGGTTTTTGGGATCTTCCCCATCATATCATTCATAATTCTCTTGGATATCATTTCATTTAACAGCAGTTAGTTAAATTAGTGGGTAATACATCTCAGTATTATTTATAATTATCTTTTGCAGGTCCTTCCACTTCTTCTACATCTGGCCCAATGCATAGGAGCAAGTCAAATATTCCAAAAGAACACAAGAAGCTTGATGAGGTGAGATCAGATATTCAATTTTTAGACTTAAAAAAAACAGCCAGATAGCCGCCTCCTGCCCACAATAACTACAATACCCTGAGTCTGAACATATGCAAAGTAAAGTATATGTCAGTTGATAGACTTGTTTTCTGATGAATTTTTTGTTTTCCCAGGAAAGTTTCTATTTCTTTTCCCCTTTAAGAGAACAATAATATTCATACTAATTTCATTTTGGTGATGATAAATGTCTGGCTTTAGAATATTGCTCCCCTAGCCAGGGAGTCAAAGAGAGCCAAATTTGATTGATAATACATCAAGAGATAGGCTAGGAGTTTGCGGGTGGATAAGGGAAGGACTAGGTTAGCAACAAGGTGGGTTAGTTTTGGGGTTTTTTTTTCTCTTTTCTTTCCTTTTTTTTTGCAGTACTGGGGATTGAACTCAGGACTTTATGCTTGCAAAGGAGATGCTTATGCTGCTGAGCTATATCCCTGACCCTTGGGCTGTATGATAGGTCCTCACAGACTTTGGAGCACTTCTGGGGCACTTCTTGAGAGGCTGGTATTTTTCTGCTCTAAGGCAGCCAAGTTCCACGGTGTTGTTTAGACTTAGTAATGGTTTGCTAGATCCTGCCAACTTTCCTCTGTGATAATTACATGCTGAAAAACTGACCCCATGTATCTTCATTTCTACTACCAATAGTCTTCTTTAACTGTAAAAGAAAAAAATGTTAGTTATCTGTTTCTATTTGTTCACAAAACTAGTGGCTTAAAGCAGCATACATTTCTTTTTTCTGTTTCTGTGTATCAGGAGTGTGGGGCAGTATGACTAGGTTCTGTGTTCAGCATCTTTCAGGGCTACACCACTGTGCTGATTTTTATGTGTCCTCATCTGGAGGTTCAGATTGTTGAGAGAATTCATCTCCTTGGAACAGGAGGACTGGGGTCCATGTTATCTACTTGCCTTTTTTGTTCTCTCAGTACTGGAAATCAAACCTAGGTAAGGGTTCTACCAACGAGCTACATATCCAGACTTCCTGCTGGTTTTTGATAGAGAACCATTTATTTCCTAAAGGTTACTTATACCTCCTTGCCACACAGCCAGAAATTCATAGGACTTGTCAGAACAGGGCACCTTACTTTTTTAGAGCCAGCAAGGAGTGTCTTTCCCTCTAGTCAACTAAGATGGAATCTTATATAACAAAATATGATCATGGAAGTGACATTATGTCTCACTTGCCATATTCTGTTGGTTAGAAATAAATTGCAGTTTCTACCCAGAGGTTACTTTTTATTGCCCTATTTTTGCCAGAGATATTTCTAGGCACAGTAGAATACCAGTTTATCTATATATGTCTGTTTCATGTAGAAAAAACCTGTAAGGAATATAATGAACATAAACAGGAGTGGAATAAATGTCCTGTCTATCCAGAGGAGACTTTGACTACAAAATGGTAAAAATAATAATAATATCTTTCCCTATAGGAGGAAAAATGGTACTAAGACATGAAATGACTCAAGGGCTTTGGATCCTTAGACATTGCCTCCAGATCTGTTGGAATAAAAATCTTTTTTTGCAAGGGACAGGGGAAACTAGGTTGTTATAAACATTTTTTTTCATTCACATTTAACATTATGTAATAAAAGGAAGCCTAGTAATATCTGTAAGATAAAACTACTTCTAGTGTTAGAAAAGAGCTTGATTTCATCACTGAAATAACTTGTGTTGTCAGTATTATAACATGAATGTTATCAAAGCTATTTCTCATACCTACCATTTATTGAAGTTTCCATGTGCCAAGAGCTTTACATTAGATAAGCTAATTTATTTCCCTAACATCATCAATTGTCAGACTCACCTTAGATGCTTGTTAAAAATACTATACTGATTCCAGATGAGTACTACCCTGCGGCACTAGTGAATTAATTAATTCCAAATAAGGTGCCTGAGTTCTTTTTTTATTAAACATTCCTTGAAAATTTTCCAGTTATAAATGTGGGATAGGTCAGCCATGGTAGTACACACCTATAATCCCACCACTCAGGAAGTTGAGGCAGAAGGATTGCCTTGAGTTTGAGTCCATCCTGGGCTACATAAGTGAGTTCAAGATCAGCCTTAACTGTGTAATGAGACCCTGTCTCAAGAACTAAAAACGAAAATCAAATGTGTATCATATGGAGACTTAACCCACAGCTCTGCAGGAAAACTTAACTGAAATAGAAAAATTGAAGTTTACTTATATTGTTTGGACCTTTTACTTGGGGTCAGGGGACAGGGACTCGCTTGTAGTTCAGGCTGTCCCTAACTCATTATGTAGCCCAGGCTGGCCTTAAAAGTGCAGTGATCTTCCTAATTTGGCTAGGAATACAGGTATGCACCACCATACCTGGATACTTACATTGTTTTACTCAATATTTATGAAAACTATTATTTTATCATCTAAAACAATAGTGCTCACTTAGATTTAGCCTTATTGATTTTTTTTTCTTTTCTTTTCTTTTCTTTTTTGCGGAACTGGGATTGAACTCAGGCCCTTGCACTTGCGAGGGAAGCGCTTATTCTACTGAGCCATCTCCCTGGGCACCCCTCCCAGCCTTATTGATTACTGATAAGCTTACTTTTGGGGGATAATACATATGTTAATATCTTGGTTCATGAATGCTTCTCTTTGTAAATAATTCACTTTGGACACGGAAGTTTTCAGCAAATTTTTTTTTGTTTACAAACTCCACATTGAGTAACAAACGTGACCAATCATGGCCATCTTTCCCGCATGAACACAAATGGAACCATTTGCCCTTGAATCGTGAAACAAATTAAATTTGTGAACCAAATTCATATACATAGAATTATACTTGATAGGAGTTTTTCATAATATTGAGTCATAATTTAAATTCATGGTTGAACTATTTTTCTATTGAAATAGTTTACATTTAATTTAAATTTTGTATTATTTAGCATGACTGTCATTTTTTCTATTTGTTCCCTCTGTTGGGTATTGGTCCTGTTTTATTTTCTATCTTCTGTGGATGACTTGAACAATATTTTTTTTAATTTTATGTTGATTTATCTATAGTGACTTTGAGTGCATATCTTTGGTTATTTCAGTGGTTATTCTTGTTATTCCCGTTTAGATATGGAATTTATCAGTCTACTCATCTCTGCATTTTACCTCTTGAAGTATAAAAACTATCATTATTTAAGTATCTTTTTCTGTTCTTCCCTATCTTTATACTATAACTCTTAAGTATTTTCTCTGAATATATCAAGAACATTACATAATGTCATATTTTTTCAACCATAAAACTTGGGGGGAAACCTCAAGAGAATAGTCTATGTACCCAAATTTATAGACTTTATTTCTTTATTGCTAATGTTTCCATTTTCCCTTTTTATTCACTACCTTTCTATTTGAAGAACTTCTGTCGTCATCTTTAGGCTAGGTCTTCCAGTGATAAATTTTGTTGATTTTCATTCATCTGAGAGTGTCTTGATTTCTTGTCTTCTTTCTTGAAGAATATTTTTGCTTGATAAAGAATTATGATGTTGGGCCAGGAAGATAACTCTGCAGCACAAGAGCCTGCCTGACAAGCACAAGGTCTTGAGTTCGAGCCCTGGTGCCAAAAAAGAATTATGATTTGACGATGCATGGTAATGCATGTTTGTAATCCAAGCACTCTGGAGGCTGGGGCAGTAGGATTCCAGTTTGGAGGCCAGCCTGGGTTACGTAACAAGAGTATCTTCTAAAAAAAAAAATAATAATAAGGTGGGCCGGGGAGATGGCTCCATGGAATAAGCGCTTCCCTGGCAAGCACACGGGCCTGAGTTCCTTCCCTGGTTCCGCCAAAATAATAATAATAATAATAATAATAATAATAATAATAGAAGGAAAAATGATTTAACAGTACTTTTTCCATAATTTTATTGAGAAACAAATAGCAATGAGACAGTTTAAAATTAAATTGGTAGGACAGTTTCAATAATTAACACATTACATACTGTCTTCCTAGTGGTTATTTGTTGTACAAGATGCAGACATGATATCCTATTTACAAACACTATTAGAACAAATCCTTCTATTCATTGAATTAAGAGAATGTAGCTATACATCTCCTAATCATTTTGAATGCACAGATACAAAATGGTCATTTATCTGTATCGCCTTTTATTGTTTAGTTCCGTCATTTAAATAGTATAGGTGTGTTAATTCAGCAAAATATTCTAAAAGAGTCCAGTAGTCCATAATAGTATTGGGTCTTCCGCTTCACTGGCAATGTCAGAAATTGTTGACCTGAGTCCTCTACAGCTCAACATAACACCATGACTTTACTTCTTATACTTCGTTTTTATGCTTTTCTGCTGGATGGTTAAGACCAAGATGAAGCAAGACCTATGCAACAAGAGTTGTAGCTTTTGAGTCTGATAAGGTCAGTGAAATCCCCTCAAGATTTATCCTGAGACCCTGTACCTCAGATTGTAGAATCTTTGTCAGTGTCAGCCATGTGGATGAGTCACGGCCATTGCTTCGCCAATTTGCCCTGTGAAAGCCTGAGAAAATGTTTTCTCTCCATGTGACTCTCCTTAGGTACAGTCTACATCATTGATCACTTTCCTCTTTGGCCCCATAATCTCCTTGATCAGAAAATTTGGGACACTACTAAGATACATGACGTTACAGTACAAGTTCTCACATGTCCTGAGCCTTAATTGACCTTGGAAGGCTAGGGCCAAAATGTTGACTTTCCTTGCGGCCCTCCTTTTTCTCTGATTTTTGGTGTGCAAACTTAGGTAGTTAACCCTCCAGAAGAGAAGCCTATTGTTACTACCATACAACCTAGGCTGTTGAGCTTAACCTCACTGTCTGAATATCAAACATCTTAGGCATAACATGGAACAGGTATTTTTCATCAAGTATTGATATGTTAAACTTTAAGTCCCTGCAGAATATGACAAAAAAATTAAAATATATTTTAAAAATACGAATAAAGAATTATATGTTATGTTAACACATAAGTCCAGAA